TTTTTTTTCCCACAAGCAGAGGAAGTGTGATTGGATCATATTTGTCTCTGGAAGCAAGACGGAGGAATGAGTGTGGCTGCCACTCAGCCTTCTCCTGGCAGGCGTATGATGTGCATGAAGCAATCCAATACCTCAGACATTTACAGGAAATCCTACTGCTGTTATCACAGAGTTACAAAGTAAATAGCCAAGTTGCACAACAGTGTTTATAAAATAATCCTCTTAGGGATTTCACCAAACAGCTTAGCTAGTTCATTAAAACTCTTAATAAGCACAGCTTTCACATAGAGGTATTTGCACATTTTACCATTAAAATCCCATTAAGACTGATGGCCCCTGTCTTGCTAAGTAGTTTTATGATTAGTTTCATAATTTAATTATATGCTATAGAAGGTGTGTCCCAGATTCACTCCTGAAGTACAAGCAGGTGGTTACAGTAGACTTACAGGGAATAGGTGATAACATTTCTGGCTGCATCTCTGTAATTAAAGATACAAATATTAATTCTCCCTAAGCAGTTCCCTTAATCTTCAAATTTCTTTTATCCCTTACTAATGGGAAGTGGCCATACCACTTTTGCCTGAGAGAAGACACATATCTGAATGTAACACATGTTAGTAGGGATGCAGCACTGAACCCACTTCCACATTCCTCTGACCATAACTTGCTGAAGTGGGCCACAATGCCTGTAAATCCCATTCTTACACAGTGAAGGAGCCAGCACATTTTAATTTCAGTGCCTGTGGACAGGGATAAATTCAGAAGCCATACCTGGACATTCCTCCCAGTCATAGCAGGTGTCATAGCCACAGGGCACTTTCTTCAAGCTTTCTGCAGAGAGCTTTGCCCTTTCAATAGCCCAGTGTAAGTCGGAACTGCTGTGGCAAGGGCCAGCATGCAAAAAGTGAAATGACTGCTCTCCAAGGCACTTTTCAGCTGAAAACTGACAGCTGGGTTTCGTCACATGCTGTTCAGAAAAAGCATGTAGCACACAGATGTCTTCTGAGTAGTGGCTGCCCCAAGGAAGAGGAATAATTATTTTAACAGACTGTGATGCAACTCCATACTTTAAAAACTCCAACAACGTAAAATAAAAAACAGCAAGTCCATGACAGGCTAGATATCTGTCTAAAGACCTAAGGCTGTCATAGCTATTGAAGTGTCTGGTCCTTGAGAAGGCCCAAGTACAGCATAGTGCTGTGAGCTGAAGAAGCTTTGGTCCCAGCCACAAGATACAAAGCCAAGGATGTGCTTGGAAAAGGAAACAGGAGGTACTGTTATCTCCACAAGGCACAGGGCACTTCCAATGACCTATGTTAACCTGGTTCATACTCAAGCCATATTCATCTTTCTGATTTTCAGCCCTACACTACACCTCTAACCTGTCCAGCCATTTACTAAAAATTCTCTGGGATAATCCTTTATTCACTGGAAGGCTGGAAGGTCTGTGCAAGTTGTGTTCTGCTAAGAGACAGTAAGTCCAAGTCTTACATATTTTCTTATGCTCTCAATATTAAAATATATGGTGTACTTTGCACCATGTTCACCTGGACGTCAAGCACAAGTAGCATAGCACATTAAGGTAAGGTGATGACTATGAAAGTGTAGAAGTTGAAGGAAAAAGGAAGGAAGAAGAGTTGGGATGTCCAGTAGCAGATGACAATGGCACGAGATTAGAAAGACTCTGGTGTGCCATGTGGTTAATTTTCATTTTATTTCACTGACTGTGAAGAGGGCTGCAATCTACATGCAGGGCCATAACAGGTTAGAGACCAGGAATCTTCAGATTGCTGTGTTTTGTTACTCTTTATTTTGTCTTCACAATGGACTTTCCCTCTGCCATTGGGGAAACTGTGACTTTTCTTTTTCAAATGGAGCTTTAACTTACCCACAGTCCTCTTCTGGATTCATGCAAACACACTCAGACCCAACCTGTTTTTGTCCTGCATTGCAAAATCCTCTAATCTTTGTTTGCTCATCTGAAACAAGAGTGAGAGTTCTTGTAACTGGAAACATAATTAGCAGAAATTACTTAGACTTCTACTGCCAGGACTAAATTGTATTTATTTCCATTTATCCTGCACCTCTTCATCAGGTGCAATGACTGGCTTTCCACAAGTATGGGTACGTCTTCGTAAGAATCACTGGAAAAACTTGCATACAAAGTTTCAAAAGAATGAGTTATCCTGCTAAATTTCATTAAGCATTGCTAATACAGCTTTCTCCCCCCAAGATTACAGTTTCAGTATTGCAATTTCATGATCAAAATGTGAAATATGTTGCACTCAAAAACTCTGATAATAAATATTATTCTAATAATTTAATGAACAGTTGCAATGCATTTGAAAACTAGTAAGCCACATTCTAGCTCTATCTAGTTATAATAAAACCATGCTGAGGATACCAGGACTACAGGAATAATAATGCACCTGAAGAGATACTAACCTTTTTCGCATGTAATAGACCTCAGAATAGAAGGAAACCAGGACAGGTCTTTTCCACAAGTATATTGTGTTTGACCAGTGACTACAAACCCAGCTCGACAGCTTAGCTTCACAGTTTCACCAATGATGTAGTGTTGCTTAAATGGGGAAATTTCAACACTGTCAGATGTTGGTGGCCTCAGGCATAATGAGGCTGTATTAAAAAAGAAAAGAATATAATTCTAGCTGTTTTCATGGCATAGGGGTATTTATAGCAAGACATAATGCTTCAGGTGAAGAGCCATTAAGGCACACACAATAACACCAAACACTTGATTGACATTCAAAAATAATATTTGTCATAATTAAGTCTAGATATTTTCAGTGCATGTCAATGTTTTTTATAAAAGTCACTTTTGATCAATAACTAAATAACTACAATCCATTACTAATGTATGCCAGTAAGAGTAATTTAATTTCGGATTGATAAATACAAATGGTATTTACAGAATATTTTAATCTTGCTTTTGTAAAAGAAGCTGTTGACAAAGCAATTAAAATTAATGGCGTTGAAGAACTTGTGAGTATAATCGGACTTTTTTTTTAATAAAATGAATAGTAAGTCAATAAAATTTCACTGAGTTTTAACAAGCTATTGGAAACTCTCCTGTTAGCAAGACCAGGCCAGTTCTCACCTATAGCTGTTGAAAAGACTTGTCCGTAAGCAGTTTGAGGCATTCATTTCTTATGGGGATTTTAGAGACATAATTAATTTAATACAAAAAATGGTAGTCAGATTCCTCCAAGAACACTTTGTTCAGCTTTATTGTCAAAGATTGTTATTATAAATCTGAGTATAAGAGATGAGTACTTGCTTCCCTCAGAGATATTTAAAACTAGAAGAGAGAAAGGCCTCATAAAACTGAGCGTTTTCTAAAACGTTTAACATCGCAATATTCTTACAAAGCACACAGCAGCAACACTTTGAAGTTCAAAGAGGAACAATGTAATGACTCAGTAGGTTTTTGTCATGCCTAGTGTGAATGCTTTAAGTACCTTATTAAAATGCTGTCTTTTCAGATATCATTACAGATTTATTTGTTAAAACCTGTATTATAGTCTATTTTGTGTATTTTTCCATGACTTGTTTTGTTGTTGAACAAAACTAGTTTTTTCTTACGTTGGCATTCAATAGGTTGTTGTGTCCAAGTTTGATCAGGCAAACATCGGAGGAACTGATAGCCACTGAGAACATGACCGCTCACACAGGCAATTTCAGCTTCTTCTCCCACTGCATACTGGTTCTTTTCATTCTGCCAAAATAAAGCCCCCAAAAGTAAAAAAGACTATAAAAAAATCTTGAATGAAAATAGACATTGTCAAACAAATCAGTGCTTAAAGTCCTGCAGCAAATGCTTTTCCTTTTCTGAAACAAGAGTCGTCCAGTCACCTACAGAATATTTGTCCAGCCATACTAAATAAAGCCATGGTTACAAAATATTCAAAGATCAGTTTAGGATAGGTTTCACTTTGCCTTTGATTCACTTGCTTATAGATGCTGGTGAACTGGAGTCCCATAACATGCTATACACAGCAACATTGTCACTAGTACACTTATTAGCTTAGGTATCAATCTAGCAAAGAGACTGTAACTAGTATGTTTTCCTTCCATCTCAATTATTTTTCATGCTCACCCTTATAAACCCATTTTCTGGTGGGTCTGGCCTGGAGCATCCAGTCTCAAGCTCACCAATCACAATATCCACTTCTCTTTTTGCTTCATCATCATTAATACAAGGAGCTCCTCTGAAAAGTAAAAATTGCTGGTAAGGATTCATCTTAAGCAGTTGTCAAAAAACAACAGCATAATGTCAGAAGTTTTGGTCGGATGTGCTTGGAGTATTTTCCTCAAAAAAAAAAAAAAAAAGTGGTAAGAAGACAGTTTGGTTAGGTTTATGAGTAATAATATTGTGATACAGTAGGTTTTTGCCATGTCTAGTGTGAACACTTAAAATACCCCCTTAAAATGTTTATATGGTCATAACCCAATCATTGCTATCAGTCAGTGGTTACAGGAGGCTTGTTTTCTATCAGTGTGGAGCTGTAAAGCCTAGTCTCTGAGGTAAGTAACAAAGAACCACATGGTCCATTGTTTTTCATCCTCTCTCTCCTATTGCTCCATAATCTCCTCTGCTGTCATTACAGCAAGGATAATGAAAATACTGGCTCATCTGTTTCTGCATGTGATTCTCAGCAGAAAAGTTGAACCTGTTCAAAATCTTATTCTTAAAGATGCAAGAAACTGAGCCTCTTTTGGGGCTGGAATTATGATTTCAAGATGAAACCATGCAAAACTTGTACATTAGATGAAATCAAAGCAGGAATATGAAAAGCTTGTTAATTTCAGAGAAATTTTCTCCAAGGCAATGAGCTCAGACTTAAACCTTTAAGAGGATGTGAAATAAAAAATAAAGAAACTGCGAGCTCCTGTGAGTGTAAGAAGATGACTTCTCCTTAGCTCTGGCCAGGAAGCCATAAAGAAGTTTAAGAGATCTACAGACATACTTTAGGATGTAAATAATCAGCCTTTTTCTGGAATAAACAATGAGTAAATCTCAACCTGAAGCAAGTTACAAAAATTTTCAAATATTTCCTTTTCTCAGCCCGTACCACGTAAGTTCAGAAACGGGAGCTGTTTGTCACTTCTCCTTGGTCACAAAGCCACTCTGGAGGGCTCTGTAACTCTGCCTTATGACTGAAGAGTCTTTTGATCAACCATCTTCTTACTTGTCCATGAACACAGAGACGTAACAGTCCTCCTCTTCTTCCCGTTCACCCTTGCAAGGTTTTCCACCGTTTATTGGGGATGGGTTATTGCATTCCCTGGTCCTTCTTCTCTTGAAAGAAGCATCACATGAGCTCCATTCAGACCAGCAACCCCAGCGACCATCTACAGCAACTGCAAGAAATAAAAGAAAGCCCGATTTTTTTCAAAAAATATCATATATAGAACTTCTTAGTCAACATATTAGAGAGATGATGGTAAATTCATAGTAGCCATTTTCAGAGGATTTAAAATTGTTAATGTTAACAGAGTAGATTATGTTGAGAATATGAGGTTTTCCAAAGAGATAGGCAAATTTCAGATTGCTTCAGGAGAGGCCTTTCTTTCCAGTTTTCTTTGCAGGTCACGTTTAAATCCAGAAGCAGTATTCTACTTCATGCACAGATGTTTGTATTTTCATGGTACTGACAACTACCTCAGATAGCTCATAAAAGGGTAAGCTATCAAATTAAATATGAACTCTAAAACTAAGTCTAAACACCAAATCTACTTCCCACACAAACTGAATTAAAATATCACTGTCTTTTCTCACCCACCAGGCTATTTGCCTGTGCCACCACAAAGCATTACGTAAGAATTATTATTTACACACCATTTCTGTTCTTCGTGACATACATTATCCACATCCATATCTTTATTTGCATATCTTATATTGTTTCTTTTTGAAGCACACAGTTGTTGAGATACTTTTTCTTTTAACAAAAGCAACATAATAATACATTAATTCTATTTTCTACATGAATGCCAAATTCTTTTGAAAAAATTTCTTTTGTGTGAAATAATTTTTTTCAGAATTATGACTTGGTTCCCTATCCTTAAGACATTTTAAGTAGATTTTTCCTTTTACACTATAATTAACAACTTTTATCCCTTAGATATTTTATCTTAAGCAAAGTAGGCCATAAGGAAACTAAGAAATGGATTTCCTAGTTTTTGCATCAAGTATCTTTGGTCCTAATTTCATTCTTTTTGCTAAACAACTTATTTCATACTCTCATTAGTGTAGCTTAGGGATTTTTTTATCACATCTTTTAATTTCTTTTAAATGCTATGCTTACTCTGTATTATTTTCTATTAGTAGTTGCCCCTTTATTTTAATACCTTCTGATCACCACAATGGGGTAAGAAGTTGCATGAATTTTGGAAGGGAAGATTACATCATATTTGTCTTTGACTAGATTGACAGGATTCTTAGGTAAAAGTTATGATATGAATTGATGATATCAATTTTTTATTATCAATTGATGATATCAAGGTTTTGTTTTGTTTTGTTTAAAAATAACTGGTAAGGATGTAAAAGTTTGACAACACTGACTCTGGACCTGGACCAGAGTTCAGCTGTGGACAGCCCTTCCCCACATGGCTGATGCTTCCTTGGCCAAAGACTTTGTGAGGTCTTAGTGGGAAAGCATACAATCTACTTATCCTAATATTTTGATAAATCCCATCTATCTTTTGTGTATGTTGTCCAACAGATAACATCCTTGCAGAAATAAATTTTCCTGCCTAGGGAGTCTGAGCACTTTGAAAGATGCCTGAAAAAAACAGCCCAGCGAGGGGCAGGACAGGCTGTATCAGGACTAAATCTTCAATATTTCTGCAATGGCCACAGCCCTGCTAGCAAGAGCTTTTCAGTTGTTCTAAAGGTAGGACTACATACCACTGTGCTCAGAAAATTACTTTTTGATAGACACTGGAAAGAAGAGTGGAAGGCCAGGCTGGACATGGCTCTGAGCAGTCTGGTCTAGTGGTTGGTGACTCTGCTCACAGCAGGTAGGTTAAAACTCAGTGATCATTGTGGTCCTTTTCAACCCAGGCCATTCTATTATTCTGTGACTCTATGAACTGCATGAAACACGTATATGTTACATTTTTTGATTTATGCATAAAGTGATACATTTCTTGTGCAAATAAATGCACTTTTACAAAAAATAAAAATATGTTTCTTTATACATTCATAAATGAATTTATAAAATCATTCATGTTTTTAATTATCAGTGAAATTTCAGAGTTTTGCTTTCTAGAAAATACAGCAAAGTTGATTTTCGAACGGTTGCCTCCTCAGTTCTGTGCTGCCGGAATTCCTGATCACAGCTCACTATGGGCTTTATAACAGGAGAACCCCATTTACACCACGGCAGTATCATCACACTCACCTGATTCATAACCTGGGGCTCGGATCTCACAGTTTGTGCCGTAGGTGCCAGCCTGGCACAAGCAGAGGCACTCTGTCCCAGAAAGCACAGGCCTGCCATTGTTGGGGCACGGGGCACACTGGCATGGGTCAAACCTGCCTGCATATTCCCCGAGGGCCCTTCTGAGGTTGCGTCGCCTGGTCACAGCACAAGGCATGTTCTTCACCAGATCCACAATGGACGACACCTGGAAAACAGCCATTCAGTTAGCACTTACCTTCAGTTTAACTGTGTGCCATACTTTGCAATGTAGATCCAACCAGGAAAGGTACATTATTTTCTTTATATCTTGCCCAGATGTGTGTGCACATGTAATTCACCTCACAGTCAACATCATCTGGATTTAAAGGGCAGGAATGCATAGCTGCTGGCTGTTGGGTATTTATCAATATTTTTCTTAACCTTCTCTTACCTCAAAGTCAATTACTACGGGATTGTCCTTGGTCGATTCCAGCCAGTTTATAAAGATTGTGTTCCCTGGAAAAGCCCCCTTTTTCTCCCAGGCCAGTGCAGCAGCGTACTCTGATCTGCCACCTTTGACCAGTGAGACTGACCGTTCTGCTGACTCCAATATGGAACCTGAAGGTATTTCAGAACAGAAATGTGAGACAAAGGCTTTCAAAGAAAACAACAGCATCATAAGGAAAAGTGTAACAGGATAGAAAAGAATATACTGAAATATTATAGAGTTACCCTTAGAAGAAATGAGTCTAAGCTCAGGAAAAAAAAATCCTATTCTGTTTAGTGATGTATCAATTTCCTAAAGAAGGCTGTGTAAGGCTGCTGCCATGGAGATATTCTCAGCTACACCAGAGACTTGTGAAATTGTGTGGATAAAGCAGGCTTCGCTAGAAGAAGAATGCACTACAAGGCAGGACCTTTGGTCCCAGTTATAAATGCCTGATTAATTGGACTTGATCACAGAATGAGTGCAAAAGCAGTGGAGGTGAGGGTATATCTGTTTTTAGTGATGCAGAACACAATCCTTACCATTCTTTCAGAAATAGTGCCAACCTTCTGTGGTATGAGATGCATTGTTGGGGACTTCATGATGTCTGTTCAAGATGAGGAAGATGGGAGGGGAATATAAGGGTGCATTACATTGCCGAAATCTCTCAGCTGCTCTGAGCAACCTCTAGAAAAGATCATGGAATCACAGGTTTCTCACTTTAGCAAGCCTGGCTATAGCCATGCTGTCAGATCCATGATTGCCAGAAAGAGCCAGTGACACTGGATCTCAAGTTACAGAACTCGAGAGCAGAGGATGAGAGTTCCTCTACCGTAATTTTGCAAGCAGGAAGATGTTTTTGATGTTTGCTTCATTGAAACAGTGAAACAGTTTCAACCCCAGGCAATACAAGGGGTTGTTCCCGAGGGGTTGGTACTGGGGCCTGTCCTGTTCAACGTCTTTATTGGTGACCTGAGTGGTGCGGTTGATGCGGTGGAAGGAAGGGATACCATTCAGAGGCACCTCAACAGGCTGGAAAGGTAGGCCCAGGTGAACCTGATGAGGTTCTACACAGTGTAGTGCAAAGTTTTTTCATATCTGCAGAACTGTTGTAGAAGGTATCATATCTGCAGTATTGT